CTGTTTTCCTCCAGCTGCGCTTTCCATTTTCCGGGCTGCTCTCTTTAGGGTGCGAGTGTGCTCATTATACCACGGTGTCAGACTGTTTTCCTTAATCTTCCTTAAGCGTAAAGGAGCAACTGTATTTAAAATGCTAGAAAAGAGAGAGTCCATGTGTGTGTATGAGTATGTGTGTGTATATGAGCATGTGTGTGTGTGTGTATATGAGTGTGTGTGTATATGAGTGTGTGTGTGTGTGTGTGTGTGTGTGTATGAGCGTGTGTGTGTGTATATGAGTGTGTGTGTGTGTATATGAGTGTGTGTGTGTGTGTGTGTGTGTGTTATAATGTTGTGTGTGTAATCAATATTCTTTCTTTGTAGAAACTCTACAAAGAGAAGTTTAACTCAGAGAAAGGCAAATCAAACTACTCACAGATGAAGGATCTGCCTGACGTCACACACGCCATACAGGTCAACAAACACCAGAGCAATGTAAGAGCACACACACACACTCACATTTTTACAATAGAAAAAAAATGTCCCCAAAAGGAGGTTTTATTAGGTTTAGTCAAATTAGTCCTCTGAATGATGCTCAGTGAGGTCCTGCTCTCATCAATCTTTTATTAGCGTCACACACTGTCATGAGCGTTTTGCGTTCAGCTAAACACATTTGTTTTGAGCTGCTCTGACTCTCAGCAATGTGTTGCTGAAGGTGGCGTATCGCCGAGGGAAGGAGGAGCTTCATAAATTCAGCGAGGTGACGGACAGACCTGACATCCGGAACGCCACACACGCCAGTAAACTCGCCAGTGACGTGAGTGCTGCTCCTCATACAGGTGTTTGTGTGACACGCGTGTGCTCAGGAATAATGTGTGGCGTCCTCACAGGTGGCCTACAGGAGTAAAGCAGACACGTTTGACCAGCGAGCGCTGCTGGAGCGACCCGACATACAACACGCCAAAGAGGCCACGCGACTGGCCAGTCAGGTACGAGACGCGTCACATGATCTGTCTTCAGGTTGTTCACTGATGCACGTGTTAAAGCCATTCTCTCCTCACTGGTCTCAGATTGTCTCTGTTTCTGCAGGTCAACTACAAGCAGAAGTTTGAGAAGAATCTGAGAGAACAGAAGCCGCAGTACAACCCCAGCGAGTGTGTGAGCTTCAGACAAACACAGGCCGCGTCAGCTCTGGCCAGTCAGGTGACTCACACTCACACACACACACACACACACACACACACACACACTCACTCGCACACACACACACACACACACACACACACACTCACTCGCGCGCACACACGCACTCACACACACACACACGCACTCACACTCACTCACACACGCTCACGCTGAATGGCTGTCCAGGATGATCTGTTCTCTTCATTCAGCTCATGTTGTTTTGCTCCTCTAAAGATGCGTCTGATTCCTGCCAGACTGCACTGGTGTCCATGGAAACACTTTCACAGCCGTTTGAGGAGATTTTCCTTTGTTGAGTCATTATGGTGTATGAGGAGTGTGAGCATGTGTTCATCACACGTGTGTGTGTGTGTGTGTGTGTGTGTGTGTGTGTCACAGGTGAAGTACAGTCAGAAGAAGCTGCAGGCCGTCACTGATTTACCCAACCTGCTTCATCTGGGTCACGCGCTCCACGCCAGCAAACTACAGAGCAACGTACAGACTCTGATTCACTCGTCTGATGATTCTGTTACATTCTGCATCAGCTGTGATGATTAGTTTGTGTTGAGATTCATTTTGAAGCATCATTCGTTCACAGTATTATGTATATGTCCGTCAGGTGGAGTACAGGAAGAAGTATGAGGAGTCTAAGGGACAGTACCTCCTCGCTCTGGACACGGCTGAACAGCGCCACCATAAGGAGAACGCTGTGCTGCACAGTCAGGTCAGTCTTCATTTAGTGTCACTGAGATTCTTGTAAAGGCAAGTCAAGTCACCTTTATTTATATAGCACTTTTAACTATACAGATTGTGTCAAAGCAACTTTACAGTATTAAATATGAAAATAGTGTATCAATGATGCAAAAAAGCCTAGACCAATGTAAAATGTTTCAGTTTCTTTTAGTTTAAGTTGAAATAGAATAAACTTTAACTAAAATAAAAAAAGTTTTTCACATGACATGTTTTTTATGGTTCTAGTTTTAGTGAACTATAATAACCCTGGAGTGAATGTGAAATATGAAGCAAGATGTTATTAATGAGGAGTGTTTATGAACATCTGTGATCAGTGGCGTGGCGTGGGGCAGGGGACGAGTGCCGTTAGAAGTGGGGACTAGATCAGACCGAAAGGGCAATTTAGCACCCCCCCGCCCCCCCGTGCACGCCACTGTCTGTGATGATCATCAGGACGATCTGTGTTTGCAGTGGAAATATAAAGAGGAATACGAGAAGAACCGGGGGAAGTCGCAGATGGAGTTTGTGGACACACAGACATATAAAGTGTCAAAGGAAGCGCAGAAGATGCAGAGCGAGGTGATGTGTGTGTGTGTGTGTGTGTGAGTATCAGTGTGTGTGTGTGTGTGTGTGTGTGAGTATCAGTGTGTGAGCGTTTGTGTGTGAGTGTGTATTTGTGTGTGTGTGTGTGTGTGAGTATCAGTGTGTGAGCGTTTGTGTGTGAGTGTGTATTTGTGTGTGTGTGTGTGTGTGAGTATCAGTGTGTGAGCGTTTGTGTGTGAGTGTGTATTTGTGTGTGTGTGTGTGTGTGAGTATCAGTGTGTGAGCGTTTGTGTGTGTGTGTGTGTGTGGGAGTGAGTGCGTTTGTGTGTGTGTGAGTATCAGTGTGTCAGTGTGTGATATTGTGAGCATGTGTGCGTTTGTGTGTGTGTGTGTGTGAGTATCAGTGTGTCAGTGTGTGATATTGTGAGCGTGTGTGTGTGTGAGTTTGTGTGTGTATGTGTGTGTACTGGTTTATATATCCTGATGGGGACTTAAACCTGACTACACACAGACTCATGGGGACTCGTGTCATGGTGGGAATCTAAATTGTGGTCCCCACAGGTACAAAAGCTTATAAATCATACAGAATTAAGTTTTTTGAAAATCTGAAATAGCACAAAGTCTCCTGTGAGGGGTAGGTTTAGGGGTAGGGTTGGTGTAGGGCAATAGAATATACGGTCTGTTCAGTATAAAAACCATTACGCCTATGGAGAGTCCCCACAAGGATAGCAAACCAGACGTGTGTGTGTGTGTGTGTGTGTGTGTGAGTGAGTGAGTTTGTGTGTGTGTGTGTGTGTGTGTGTGTGTGTGCCTGTTTGTTTGTGTGTGTGTGCGTGTGTGTGTGTTTGTGTGTGCCTGTGTGTGTGTGTGTGTTTGTGTGTGACGCAGCTGTGTGCTGAACGTGTGTATCTGCTCACAGAAGGAGTATCGTAAGGAGTACGAGAGCCAGATGAGAGGGAAGGTTCTGCTGGAGGTGGATCTGACGCCGGCGTATCTGACGGCTCGTAATGCCAGCAGCCTCGTTAGTGAGGTGATGATGTGTGACACGAGCAAGAGATTCAGCAGAGACATCAAAATCACAGAAATTATTTGAAATAGTTTAGTTAGTGATTAACACTGATGTGCATAGAATGACAGAGCCTGATTTGTTTCTT